CCTTTTGCTACCAGACTACTGTGCTATCTTCTTTCCTGAAATATGACCTCATCCTCACTTCCCTTCCCCAGCCTAATTTGAGTTATGATCTCATCTATCCCCACTCCCCCCACCCCAGGCCTGGCTAAACTCATCCTCCTTTGCCTCATATCACCATTACCTCAAGGACCCAGGGGTCAGTAAGTCCTGAGGTCTGCTTGCGTCTTGTTCTTTTAAACCTTGCTTCCTAAACATGTTATGGAAATTAGTATCTTCTTTGTCCCATGATATACTACATTCAAACTCGGGCCCTATGGGGAGAGTGATTGTACTGTGTGTTCTACAATTTATTTGTTTCTCTTCCTCCCCAAAGAACAAGAAAACTCTTCTGACCTCACGTAGACTTCTTGTTCCCTAGTCTGGCAAGACTTCTTTTCTTCTCACCGACCACCTTCAATTTGCCTTCTTCATTCATTCTCTTTCTTTTATCCTTTGTGTTTTCTTTTGCCAATGCTTCCTTTTCCATTGTAGGTCTCCTCTAAGAAACCACATCCTAAAATTCTGGTTCCATTCCTCCAAACATGCCTGTTTATTTCTATCTTAGGGTCTATATGATTCATAAGAAAGTTCTCTCTCCCCTTTCTCTTGTCACCTTTCATACACACTTTTGTCCACTGTTATAAAGTATCTTTTTGGTGTGAACACGCCAATGCATATAAACTTTGTCACCTGTTTCTTCCAACCAAGCTCCAGTTCTTCAAATCTGAAAAGAGATTTCTATACACTGTTCTATTTTTCCACTGTTGAATCCCAGATGTTTTTCTGCAACAAGGTATCCAAAGCACCTGTATTACCTGAGCTTCCAGTGGTGCTTCTGAGCAGCTGTAATAAGAAGCAGTGTCCTCCCCCCTGGCTTGGAAGCCTAAAAGACAGAAATAGGAATAAAATAAGCAGGATCCTAGCCTCTGATCCTTTCCAGGGTCATGAAGAAAGACATTAAAGCCCACAAGTCTCTGCCTCGTCCTCTTCTCCAGAGATAACAGCACATATATCCAGAGTGCTCAGGCAGTTGAATAGAGAAAAATTCATCTCTTAAGCTCTAATTTGTAGGAAGACATCCCTGGAAAAAATTTTCCATGTATCAAACTTCACTGTTTTCCTTTATATCATATTTTTCATTCTCTAAGTGTACCTATTTCCCAAAGGTTAAATTTACTTCCGATTCCAATTTCAGGTAAATGCACAAATAAAAGTGGAAGACTCAACATTGTTCCCATGTGAACAATGGGAAACAGGAAAAATCAACTTCACAGATTTCGCTTTTATTCAGGGCTGATGAAAACAAAGATGTGGAGGTTATTTAAATGAGAAAAGTGGCACTAGAGGAAAAAGAACAATTATTTATGTTTCTGGGGCAGAAAAAGAGGTCAAGGGGGAGTCACTCAGGGGGAAGCCTTCTTAACAGATTTTCAGAGTAATAAAATGGGCTCGTGTGTGTGTGTGTGTGTGTATGTGTCAAATTTTCTGAGTGACAACTTTGTACCAAGTACTGAATCAGGTGTGACAGAAACTGAAAACATTGCTTTTGTCCTCCCAACAGTAGCTAATAATGGAACTCTGGTAGCTTTGGTAGCTAACAATGGAAGAAAACTCACGCTAAACCATCAATACGTGAATCTACACATGCCAGAAACATCAAGCACTGAAGAATGGAGCCTTAATCTCTGATAACAGAGAAAGCAGTACTGATCAGTACTCTGAGAAACTACCCACTGTGCTGATCAAGTCCTACAGAACACTGCAAGCCTCAAATCAAACTGAAGGCAACATTTATCTCTGAAGATTGGCAAAGTGCGGATGCACAAAAAAAGATGACGAGATGGGAAAACAAGATGGAAAGACAAATTCCTAGTTCCATAAACAAATTACACACTGGGTACAAGTCTTGCATCCCTTCTCCGCCTGAATTCCAGTACCTGAAAAGCACTTAGCTTTCTCCTTCACTCCCAACAGAAATTGGGGTCACGTCATCAATCCCAGAATGATCCTTGCTCTCTGCATCTAAAACATTAAAGAACACCTGCCTCTAGGTCACTGAGGGGTTAGCCAAACACAGGCTAATAAAAGGACTTAAAGTGGCAAGAGGTCTGCAGGAATGACAACAAAGAGCCAAGCCTGTGCACCAGGTTCCCACAACACAAAACACATTTCGGAATCTGAAACCTCGGCCTCTGAAGGGGCACACTGAGGATTTCTCAAGGGGAAGACGCACTGTGACTCCAACCGAACTAACGGGGAAGAGGGACCATTCCAGACAGCTGCCAACGCTGCCAGCAGAGCCAGGAATCAAGAGGCTGAACCCAGCCCGAGACCCGAATTGGCTGAGGGCGAGAGCTGCGCCCGCCAGAAAGAGAGGAGCTTGGAAGAGACTAGAGACTACGGCTTCCCATGATCCGAAATCCTTGCTCCAACAAGGGTAGGGGCGGAAATTGTGAATTCTGCGTGTAGAGGGTGGGGGTTGACCCTTCAAGCAGAGGGGCAGGGGCGAGGCCCCGCAGGGGATGCTTCCTTGTTTGGGGGCCTCTTCCCGCCCGGAGGACTCGGATACCCCGGCCCGCGGAGACACAGTGGCGGGGACGCCAGGGCCTGAGGCTCCCTTCTCGGCCCGACCGGAGAGAAGCGCAAGGGGGTCTAGGCGCGGCCTCCTTCGCTCCCTCGGTCCGCAGTTGTCGGGCCCCGGTCCAGAGAAGCAACGGGCTCCAGGGGGCCACTTCCTCCGGAGCTCCGAGCCCAGGCCTGCTTGGCCTCAGTGAGGGCGGCCGGCGGTCCCCACTCCAGGCGACACTCACCCGCCCATCTCACGGCGCTCCTCGGGCTCCTCTCGCTCGTCCCGGAGCCGCCGACACCACAGCCGCCGCCATCCCCAGCCCCGGAGCCGCCCCACACCCAGCGCCCCCCAGCCGGGCGCCCGGAGATGGCGTCAAGCGCGTCCCGCCCCCGGCGCGGGTAGATTGCGTCACGGCCCGGGCCGGAGAGCGACGCCCAGGAGTACCCGGGAAGGGAGGGGGCTGGCCAACCGCCCCTCGCCCCCAGCGCTCTCCCTAGTGGGAAAACTAACTTCTGTTTCGGGGCCGGGTCACGTGAATAGGGCTGGGCCCGGCCCCCTCACCCTGACCCCACAATGACCCCGTAATCTCTTTACTCCAGTAAATTCCGGGGGTTCCCAAATAGAACCCTGGGGCGTGGTCATCAAGAGACCCTCATTTCCTGGACTTCCCGGGCCCAACTCGTGAAGCATCGTCTTGGGAACCTCGGGAACCCCGAGGCAACCCGGGCCCAGGAGAGTAAGCAGATGCCCCTGGACATCCAGGGTGGAGATGGGAGCTCTTTAAGAGTTGAGGGCTCTCTGAGGGGGATGAGAATGGACCGGACCCAGGATTTAGAAGAAGGTGAAGCAAGTAGTGGGAGACTTGAAAGTCTATGAGGAATGAGAGGAAGGGGTTGGGTAAAGTGGGAAGCAGCTTGGTTTGGTGGAAGAGGGCTTGACTACTCAATGAAGTATTAGGTCACCATTCATTGCCAAGTAACTAGTCGACTTCATAGTAACATAAACATCTGATTAACTTAAGTGGAAAAAAATGAACACCAGATGAATTTGTGCTTTGATTACATCTATGTAAAAAAGTAGTTCTGCGTACAAATACAAACTAAACTGAAAAAGAATAGGTTTAACTTTTGGAGAGATTGGATTCCGAGTGGATTTTTCCGCTTTCTGTTTCTACAAACTCTTTTCAATAAATAACAATTGATTTTCATTTGATTTAAAAAGTACTGGCTGGGCTCTGGTCCCTACTTTGTAGCTGTCTGACCTTAGGAAAGTCACTTTGCTACTTTAGAATTGGGTTCCCACTTCTGCAAAATGAGGAGCTTGAACTAGATGGAGTGGGAGTAAATGTAGATAGAAGAGCTCTTTAAACATTTTAAGTGAAAAAATAAGCAAACTTGCACAGTGAGATATCATGTATTTAATATTAAAAGACATAACATTACAGTTGCATATATTTCCGTATCTGTACAGAAAAGGAGTAGAGGATATGTAACAACTAGTTAACTTTGCTTATCTCAGGAGAGGAAAGTGGAACTGGGTGGTGGCCAAAAGGAACAAAAGGGACTTATGTTATTATTTGGATTTTTTATGAGAATATTATCTTAGAAATATTGAAATGAGTAAGTTAAAATACAAATAAAGTATATGATCTCTAAGATTCTTTCTAAGGAAGACTTAGACCTCAATTTTATTTTCTCACCTGGGTGGGCACAAAGGATCATCAAAATTATTGAATGCCACATACACACACCTTGCACCAGTGGGTAAAACATGGTGAAGTTGCTGATCGGTTGCCGTGTAAATCAGCAGAGGGCTTTGCTTTGTGAATATTAATATTATTCATAACAGTCATTTTCTCTCTCTGTTTGGCCAAGAAGGAAGTCCCGTGGTCACTCAGTGATTCCGTTTTAGCACTAACTGGCATTCTGGTTTCTAGTTCATTGCTTAGCTCACTAAACTGGCATTAAAACTGCCGAGGAGGAGGGGGAGGGGGAGGGGGAGGGAGACCCTTGGACCATCCAGGTGTAGTTAACCATAGCCAATTTCTCACAGAGAGAGAGAGAGGGAGAGAGACAGAGAGAGAGAGAGAGACCCTTGGACCATCCAGGTGTAGTTAACCATAGCCAATTTCTCACAGAGAGAGAGAGAGGGAGAGAGACAGAGAGAGAGAGAGAGACCCTTGGACCATCCAGGTGTAGTTAACCATAGCCAATTTCTCACAGATCAAGATACACTCTCAGAGAGCTGGTTTTTCAGACAAAGTTGAAAAAGTGGACAGAGGTAGATGCAAGCAAAAAAACTTTTTTGGCTAACAGCCATTAACATAATTACACTGTGCAAAGGCATGTCTGATTAAAAAAAACAGGTTGTTCTGATTGGTGAAACACAGGTGATTTCCTGGTTTGGTGCTGTAGTCCCAAAAGGGTGGGTCATCTCTCTGCTGAATCCTCTTCTAGAACTCCTTACTCCAAGCAACCTTCATTTCTTTGGTGGTACATATTGACGGTAGGAAGTTCCATAGTGACAATTTGATGGGAATATTGGTGATAAGTAAACTAATATAGTTTTTTAGATTTAAAACACTAAAATAACCAAAAGTTACCTCATTTCTCCAAAAACTTGTAGTATTCTCTGGAATCTGGATAATTCCCTATTTATTTATATTAAGTAAACCCAGGGTCTTATACACTGTAACTGACTCAATAAATAGTCATTGAATGAAATTTCACAAAGATATCCCAAACTGGGAAATTTTCCTTGCTAATTCTTTTGCTCCCATTTCCTCATTTCTACTCTTCTCTATTTTGCCTATTTGTTAGCTGTTTTTAATCTTTCTCATCTGAAAGTCCTTTATTTTCTTTCACCAAGTCTTTTTTTTCCCTACAGAGTTTTAAGAACGGATGAAGCGAAAGAAGATGTTTAAAGGTATTTGGGGACTGAAAAGTTAAACTTCAATCTGTTTTGTCCACCTCTTCCCTTTCCCTGGATTCCTATTGCATTCCTTTGATGTGTGTAGATTGAATGTGTGTGATAGGAGAGCTTGAGGTACTCTGCTGGAAGGAAAACAACATTGACAAAACCCTGCCGTGCTGGTTATTCTTCGCCCTAAGCAGGCATGAGTTGCACACCAGCTCCCCGTGTTGCCTAGTTCCTTGTTGGTAATTTTTCGAGACCTGAAGTACAGGCAGGGGAAGCTCAGACAACTATCCCAACTCTTTTTGACATTAAGGGATCAAACCAGAGAGAAGTGCTGGTGACTTGGGAAACCATGTGTGTCATAACAAGAGGAGTAGGTGGCTTTTTTCATAACGTCACGTGTTGCTGCTTGTATGCTTCCGCACGTAGAGTTGTCATTTTAGGAACAGAACTTTATCTTTCGATGCCAATGGCAGAAACAACTCATCTCAGCGTACAATGAAATTATAGAAATACCTAGCAGATTTAGCTTTCCCTAGAAACGTGTTGGTGCCTGCTATTAGATTATTTTTCAAAAGCTTTTCTAGATGTCCAAATGTAGAAATGTGCAGTTTTCAACCTTCTGTTGTATCTACTTCTCTGAACAATTCTGTCCTCATTTCCACGTGCTTTTAATGTTATGTGATCTCTCCAGATTTCGATGGGGATTTCCCTTTCAAATTCACTAATATTTTATTTAGAAAGAGGTCTTATAATTTCTCCATAAGTGAGTAATATGTCCTTTGGAGAGGGGAATCTCCCTTCGTTGTCTGCTTCCTCAGACGCTTACCAAAGACTTTCATTTTTGTCAGAAACTTCCTGCAGAACTCTCAAAGGTTGCAGTAAAAACATTAATGATTGGAATAAACTGAAGGAAACCTAACCCTTATGGCAAGAGTCATATCTGGGGAATTGGTCCACAGAGAAGCAAGTGCATTCAGGCCATTACTGGGCAGCCAGGAATTCCTTTCACGGGGCTTCTTGAGTGAATAAAGTGGATGTGGAAAAACTAGGGCTCCCATGACACTGATAACTCTCTTTCTCTGGAAAACTTGCTCAGCAAGGTGATTTGCGAGCTGCTGTGCCTTGTGGTGAAATCATGTTCAGCTCTGCGTTCAAAGCTGATCGCCTTCGGGTCAACTTGGAACTGGTTGTCAATCGCCTAAAACTCTTGGAAAAAAAGAAAAGTGAGTAAATACTTCAGGCAGCACAGCAAGCAGCCTCTCAGATCACTGTGCAATTCACCCACCCCCCTAGGTGATACATCTCCTAACACCTTACTAAGCAACTTTGGAATTTAAAGGAACATTTCTGAGTTGTGGGAGTGATTATTATAGTAATCAAATCATTTAAAAGTTTCCAAAGGTTTAAAAATCCAGATTACTGGACTTCTCTCCACCAAGGCTGAGAACTTTATGTAGTCAAGTCTTTTCTTTTTTTTTGCTTTTTTATAATTTTATTTATTTATTCATTTTTCCCCCAAAGCCCCAGTGGATAGTTGTATGTCATAGCTGCACATCCTTCTAGTTGCTGTATGTGGAACACGGCCTCAGCATGGCCGGAGAAGTGGTGCGTCAGTGCGCACCCGGGATCCGAACTCCGGGCCGCCAGTAGTGGCGTGCGCGCACTCAACCGCTAAGCCACGGGGCTGGCCCTAGTCAAGTCTTTTCAAATGTGCAGTAGCTATTAAGTTTGAGCTCCCAGGCAAATTTTTCTGGAAGGGCTTCCTCACCATTTTTTCAACACACACACAAAATGCTATTTCTTCTATCAGGTGACAGCTCAAGTAGTACTACACCCATGAGTAGGGGTGGTGGCTGACGTCTTCTTTCTTTAAGTTCAACTTATTTTCTGTTGCCTTTTGCTGTTTCCTCATTCCACTGGGTCACATGAGCCATTAACCCCTCAATAAACTGCAAAACTGATGATCTCTGATTATGAAGAGGATTCAGGTGAAACAAGTATTGCATGTAAATGCAGTTTTCTCAGTGCTCTGTAAATAGCACTATTTACTATTGAATTACCATAATCTATTGGTAGAGAAGCAGGTGTTACTCAAACTTCCAAATTGATTTTTGGGCATTCTTTAGCCAAATCTTGCAGAGGATGTTTGGTCATTACTTAGATACTTAGATAATAGGGGCCTAAGGGAAGTACTCAAAACAAATGAAATTTAGGCAAACCCAATGTTACCATTATTGCTACCATGAACAATGAGGATGACGTTGATGGTGCACACAGAACTTGTGAATTTTAAGCTGCATGCCCACATGTTCTTTTATGTGATCCTGACAATCCAGTGATACATATTACTATCCAGATAAATTTTATCCTCTTCTTACAAATGAAGAAATTTAAACATCGAATGTGTGAATGATTTGAGATAAATAAGGCAAATTAGCCCTGTCTTACCTAAATTTATTTCTTTTTAAAAGGAGATAATACTCTCGACATTCTGTCACTCCAGGGTTCTGTTTATAACACAAACTCTAACCTGGGCACAAAGTAAATGTTTGCCTAGGTTAGTAGCAGTTTAGCATTCATCAGAAACAAGTCCAGGGCCGGCCCCGTGGCTTAGTGGTTAAGTGCGCGTGCTCCGCTACTAGCGGCCCGGGTTCGGGTCCCAGGCGCGCACCGACGCACTGTTTCTCCGGCCACGCTGAGGTCGTGTCCCACATACAGCAACTAGAAGGATGTGCAACTATGACATACAACTATCTACTGGGGCTTTGGGGCAAAAAAAAAAAGAAGGATTGGCGATAGATGTTAGCTCAGAGCCCGTCTTCCTCAGCAAAAAGAGGAGGATTAGCATGGATGTTAGCTCAGGGCTGATATTCCTCACAAAAAAAAAAAAAAGAAACAAGTCCAGTTCTACTGTGATTTCTTTTCTCTGCGATGTCTGGGGCAAAGAACATTTTCCTACTTTGGACTTGCCTAAGCAACCTCCCAAGCACTGCGCTTTGTGTTTATTTCAGATTCAAATGGAGTCTCATGTCAAGATTTGTTTGCAATGACAGAGTAACTGTCTATTCACGATTAGGTGGTGGGCATCATTTTTAGGGTATACTGGATAGACAGGGTATATAATTTGGAGGCTCAGGTTTTCCTGACTTATGCAAAGCCTGTTTCCCCAGGCTCAGTCATGAATTGATAACAGAAGGTAGTAAGACTTTACTTATCACAGTGGATTGGCATGGGACAGGTTGCATGTGTTACTTCTCCAACATGACCCTACTTGTTCGTTTTATGACATAATGTGGTGAAAACGCATAGGAATTTGCAGCCTGAAGATTTGACCTTGAATTCCAATTCAACCAGTTACTTCTAGTCATGTGACCATGGACAAGCCGTTTAACCTCTCAGAATCTCAATTTTCTCAGTTGTAAAATGCAAATAACATACAAACCCCACACAGGTGCTATGGGGATCAAATGGAACTGTATATATGAAAACATTTTTTTAAATACAAAGCACTTCATGCATTCTCCTTTTTTAAATAACTAATCTTTTTATTACAAAAATAATAAATGTTCACCATGGAACATTTTAGAACATAAAGTTAAGCTGAAAGGATAAAATAAACATGACCTGTGGAAGCACCCCCTAGAGCAGTGGTTCTCAACCTGTAACAGGTGTCAGAATCCGGAGAGCTTGTTCAAACACAGATTGTTGGGCTCCACTTCCAGAGTTTCTGATTCAGTCGTTCTGGGGTGGGCCCCAGGAATCCGCATTTCTATCAAGTTCTCACATGATGCTGGTATTGCTGATCTAGGGATGACACTTGGAGAACCACCGACCTAGTTCAAAACACTGATAACTTTATCTATGCATATATGGTATATCTAGTGGGCATTTTTGTTTATTTTTATAAAAACATTGTTTCACACTATCATGTAACCTGCCTTTTTATTCCTCTTTGCACACTCATTTTTCTATATGTGTGTTTTGTGCTGCAGCCCAGCAGGCCCAGAAAGCAAGGAAGGAGGTTGTCGGTCATCTGGCTGCTGGGAAAGATGAACGAGGTCAGATCCGAGTGGAGCACATTATCCGAGAAGACTACCTCATGGAGGCCATGGAGATCCTGGAGCTGTACTGTGACCTGCTGCTGGCTCGGTTTAGTTTGATCCAGGCCACAAAGTGAGACCTGTTGAACTTGTGTCATTTCTCAGGCTCAGAGGAGTGACAGGGCATCCCTTGTCACCTAGTGAAGGAGAAGGTGGGCTCTAACTCATTGGGACTGTATCAAAGAACTTTGTCTCTAATTTTTATAGGGAGAACCTGCCCTGCTTGAAGAGAATATGTCAGTCCAAAGAGCCATTTTTAAAACCAAATAGTTGGGCTGGCCCCGTGGCTTAGCGGTTAAGTGCACGCGCTCCGCTGCTGGCGGCCCAGGTTCGGATCCCGGGCGCGCACCGACGCACCGCTTCTCCAGCCACGCTGAGGCTGCATCCCACATACAGCAACTAGAAGGATGTGCAGCTATGATATACAACTATCTACTGGGGCTTTGGGGGGAGAATAAATAAATAAATAAAATCTTTAAAAAAAAAAAAAAACCAAATAGTTGTCTTTTCCTCCTTGAGCTGTAAAGATACAGTATAAACTTGTAGTAGAAAAGTTGGGAAGTACAGACAAAAAAGAATCCATAATCACCAAATCTGGAGATAAGAATTTTGGTATATTCCTTTCAGTCTATATATGTATACCTATATGTATCTATGTGTGTATAAACACATATATATGTGTGTATGTATATGTATACTCATATTTACATATATGTACATATAGGTTTATATTCTAATTTCAGTTTTAAAAAATTATTTAACATATTTTGAACATTGTCCATAGGCTACCTTTGAAGTAGAGAAAAGAGGGAAACATAAGCCCTGAATTTCATAGTTTTGTGCTTTCCTTAGGGAACTGGATTCTGGTCTGGCTGAATCCATATCTACGCTAATCTGGGCAGCTCCTCACCTCCAGTCAGAAGTGCCTAAGTTGAAAATAGTAAGTTTGACAAGTTTTAACTGCCTGTACAATGAATGTAGGTGAGGATATCACTGGTGTTACTCGTTCAGAATTGTAAGATTACTTAGGGAATCCTTTCTTCTCTTAAAAGTTAACCAAAAAAGTATTTTCTTCTCTTAGTCTCGAAGTGAGAAATGAATATACTTTTTTTTAATGGCAATGGTAGAAAAACAAAACTTAACTAAAAAAATAAAACTTGAAACTGGGTTTCTTTTGTGGAGGAGAGGGAGTGTCATAATTTATAAAGTGTTTAGAATTAAAGGTTTTCAGTTTCATTTATCAGATATTTAAAAACAGAGCAAAGCACTTGTTATTGTTGTTTTGAGGCTAAAAGAACATAATTCCAATGAGGGTAACATGAAAGTGATTGTTGCTCTTTTGGTTTTTCTACATCTAAAGTATATTTTCCATAACTTGATGAATTTTGCCTTTATTTCTTTCTTGGTGATGGTTTGCTGCAGGTATCAAATCAGCTGTGTGCAAAGTACAGCCAAGAATATGGTGAACTATGTCAAACCAATGAGATTGGAACTGTGAGCTCTCAGGTAGTACCATTTCCAAAGACACACATTTTTCTAAACCCCAAGTCCAGAAAAAGCTGAGCAAGCTCAGAACATATAATTTTGTGCAGACTTCAGAAAGATGTTTAGAAATAAGTTTTGCATTGGAGGCAGAGAACTTGGATGAAGATCTTGGACTAGAGAACTCAAATCTTGCTCAAAAAGCTAGAGTCAAGAAAACTGAGCTGATTTCTTTATTAAGAAAGCATACATTTTTCCTAAAGGTAACTGGCCTAGTAATACGAAGGAAGTTAATGAAACTTCGAAGTTTCAACTTTTGACTGTCTTACACACACATAATTCAGGACTGACGTTCAGCTGGGACGCGGAGATCTGGCTGAAGTGGTTGTTTCAGGCCGGTGGACATTCTCATCATTCAGGGTGTACATTCTGACTGGTTAGTGCCTTGCTGTACTGGTTGGTGAATATGTTGACTATCACGTCTGACATAATTCAGATACTTATAAAATCAGAATTCTTGATTCAAAATATTTTTTATTATGTTTATTTTGTTCCTCTTATTCTACCTGGTTTGAGGTTCCTTCACCCCAGTTCAGGGCTGTCTTATGATACAAGCAGGGCCCCTCCATGCTGTTGCTAAATTATACATCTTTTTAAAATCCTATATCTTACATTACAGAGAACAGAAAGATGAACAATGATTCAAAGGTGAAAGAGTACTTAAACTCTTTTTTGTTTCTTATCTTGTAGGTATGCGTGTGACCAAATTCTTTATGTTCTTTATTTTGCAGCTAATGTGTAAATTAAATGTAAACACTCTACCCCAGGTTCTAGTGGAACAGTACCTGAAAGAAATTGCTAGGAACTATAATGTGCCATCTAAACCCAAGGCAACCATTATGGTGAGTGCTTTCAAGAAGGGAGAATTGTCTTAAAGCCGAGATTCTTACTGTGCTCCAGAAGATTTTTTTCTACTTAGGAATGTGGCTTCCAGAGTAGCTTTTCTACTTAGGAATGTGGCAGAATTGTAAAGCAGGTGACATTTGCACCTTTTCTCTGCCCACATACTTTTCCTAACAGAACTTGACTTCTGTTAACTATCAGATACCCTTCTAAGTTGTTAACAACAGAGTAGAAAACAAAGATGAAGTCACCTAAAATGTTATACCCAGAAGTGTGTAAAACATTTTTAGTTCTTAAGATCTCAACTTTGTCCTGGGCATGTTTTACATTTTAATAAAGATCTCTGGAATAAAGGCTACAAGATCCAAAGGTGCAAGGCACTATTATTTAGTCTTGGTTAAGAGTATGAGTTGGGTAGTGAAACAACCCATATTCGGATCCTCACTCCACCATTTATTAACCGTGAGACCTCAGGCAAGTCTCAAAGATTCAGTTCTCTGAACTGTAAGAAGGTAGTTAATAATAGTTAATAGTTATTAACAAATCTCATAAGTTTGTTGAGATGATTAAATGAGCTAATAAATATAAGGAAATTAAATGCAATGCCTGGGGCCGGCCCTGTGGCTTAGCGGTCGAGTGCGCGCGCTCCGCTACTGGCGCCCTGGGTTCGGATCCAGGCGCGCACTGACGCACCGCTTCTCCGGCCATGCTGAGGCCGCATCCCACATACAGCAACTAGCAGGACGTGCAACTATCACATACAACTACTGGGGCTTTGGGGAAAAAAAAAAAAACGAGGAGGATTGGCAATAGATGTTAGCTCAGAGCCGGTCTTCCTCAGCAAAAAGAGGAGGATTAGCATGGATGTTAGCTCAGGGCTGATCTTCCTCACACACACACACACAAAAATGCAATGCCTGGCATGTAGCAAATGTGGTCAAGTTTAGCTTTTTATCATCATCATCATTGTCACGGAGAGTGGATTAATCTTCCTAAAGGTGGTCATGGACTATTTTGGGACAAGAGGGATTTCTCCCTAATACCTTCAAATTGCTGGGACAGCATATACCATGTTGGATTGTGGTTAAGCGGCACACTTGTCTTTTCTGATGCTTTGCTCCTGATGGTTTCTTGATAGAGACTCTTTTACTCTTTTTTTCTCTTCCAAAGAGTTACATGGTTTGTTGAAAAATGGCACATTGTAAGAATTTAGACAATACAGAAAGGGACTGTGAGGAAGCAAAAGCCACAAGAAGTGCCACTAGAGATGTGCTCAAGGGCTCAGGCTCTGGACCTCTTTTCTTTCTTCCCTATTCTCTAGGTGATTTCATCCAACATCACAGTTTTCAATTCCATGTTTATGGGGAGGACTTCCACATTTATATCACTGGCTAAGGCCTCTAGACTGATATGAACTCCAGGCTGATACATCCACACACCTTCTTGACTTCTTCACTTGGATGTTTCAGAAGCATCTCAAACTTAACATTTCCAAAAGTGCTCTCACCCCTTCCAACAACCTACTCATTCTACAGTTAATGGCAATTCTATGCTATGGGAAAAATCTTGATATCTTCCTTGACTCTTTCTTTTCTCTCCATCCTTAGGCCCCAGCCAATCTTCAGCAAATCCTGGTTACTCTACCTTCTAAATATATCCAGAATTCTGCCACTTCTCACTATCTCCACTGACACTACCCTCACCTCACCTCAATAATCTTTTGCCTGGAGGATTGCAGTAGCCACTTAACTTGTTTTTCTGCTTCTACTCCTCTTCCCCATTTAACTGAGGTTCAATATAGCACCTGTTGGTACCTAAGCCAGATCACATCACTCTTCTTCTTTTAAAGCCCTCCAGTGGCTTTTTAGAATAATAGGCACAGTCTTTCCTCTGACCAGCACCACTGCCCACACCCACTCTCCCCTCTTCTCTCTGGCCTCATTCCCTCCACTCTCCCCGTTGTTTGCTCTGCCGCAGCCTCTCTGGCCTCCTCGCGCTTCTTCAAACACATGTGCTGGTTCCCACCTCAGGACCTTTGTACTTCCGGTACTCTGTGTTCTCTAGCTATCTGCCTGGTCCCTCCCTCACTTCCCTCAGGTCTGTACTTAGATGTTTGTTCTCCTCTCTATGAGGCCCGTCTGGCTACCTTCTCTAAAATGTCAACCTCTTCCCTCTTCTCTGCTTTATATTTTTTCTCTATCGTTCCTACCTCTATCTAACATCTGTATAGTTCACTTAGTGATCTTGTTTATTATCTGTCTCTCCCACTGGAATATTAGTTCCATGAAGACAGGGACTTTTGTCTGTTTTGTTCACTGTAGCATTCCCAGTACTGTGCCTGGTTTACATTATGTGGTCAATAGATTTTGTCAAATGAATGAATAAATCCAGAGTTTACCACTGCTAAAGTTTGATAAACTTTCTCGTAGACGTATCTATGCATACTTACATCTAGCTCTTAATCATTGGTGTACCGCAGTGTCTGACCTCATAGGCACTCAAAACATAGTCATTGAAAGAGGGAGAAAGAAGAAGTGTGTGGGCCAGGAAGTCCTGAAGGTGGCTTTAACTGTCATTGACTTACGCTAGACTCTAAGCTTCATGAGAGCAGGAACCGTGTTTCTGTGCTATTTCTTCCCCTGTGCTTCCAAGAGTGCATAGTATGTAATAGGTCTGCAATAAACAAATGTGTAATAAATTGAGAGCCCAATGTGATTCGTACCCTCTTGCCTCAGGTTGAAGGCCCAACAGACCTCATCAGTATTGGGTTTACCAAGGATGTCAAGAAAGGTGCCCTTGGCAGAGGAGGTGAAACTGTAGCAGGAACTGGTGATCCACTTGGGACATTGCCAATATCTGTACCAGGGCCCTTACCTGTGCCATCCCCAGCTCCTAGTTTTTCATCCCTTCCTCCTGAAAGACAGGTCAGTATGGATAGGGAAACTGAATCTGGAATGGGCCTACAAACAGTGCTAGAGTATATTTCTAAATGGGCATTTTTAACGGTAAAATGATCTTTGTGAAGTTTTTTAAGGTCAAGGGGCATATTTGCAATCATTTAACTGATATTTGATGTGTTTTTATGCTGAACTAATGAGAAAATAGGGCTACAGTCTTTCATCAACCTCTTGACAATACGACAACATAAACTGCAAAGAACATTTATATGAGCTGGCCAGATTTTAAAGTCTTTAATGTACAGTGGTTTAGACTCATGTTTCAGATTAGATATATTCAATTTATTTGTAGTGAAAACAATTTGCTTTCATGTTGAAAACAGTATGAAAATACTCATAACTTTGTATAAATAAATCTGGAAAAGTCAAATAAGTGAGAACCAAAGAGCCATAGGTGTTAATTTTCTTTACTACTTGTTCCTTCAGTATGAAGTAAAGAGAAATTGTTCTATTCTTTTCACCTCCTGAGGCATTTCTGACCCTATGAAGCTCTTTTTTAAGATTTTATATTTCAGACATAGTTTAACTCTCATTTTCCTTGTTGAAATTATTTGTCTGAACCACACCTCGTGTATTGCTCAGCTTCTACTCTTGGAATGCAAGTCCTCTTATTTAAAAATAAAACAAAGAAAACTGTATTATGGAAAATTTAAACATATACAAATTTAGAATAATATAATGAACTTCTATCACTCAATTTCAACAGTTGTTAACATTCTGCTGCTCTTATTTCATCTATCTATCTCTTTCTTTTTTGGGGGAGGGAGAGAAGGAATTTAAAGCTCAGTTATATATATAATTTCATGTGTCAATACTTCAGTATATATCTCTAACACAAACCCTTTGTTTTTATAATATAAAACAATGTCATTATGATGCCTAAAACAATGAAAAATAATTCCTTAATATCATATAATACTCAATCCATGTTAAATTTCTCTGTCTCAAATACAGTTATTTTGTTGAAATCAAGATCTAAAAAGATTCACATATTGTATTTGCTTGATATGTCTCTTAAATCTTTTAATGTCTAACACTTCTTTCTTCCTGCCTCTCCTTCTTTTCTTGCCATTTATTTGTTGGAGAAAGAGTCCTCTGATTTTATTAAACTGAATCATCTTTTACAAGTAGCATCTCCAGGCTCAAAGATAAAACATTTCCAGATTCTTGTATGAGGCCATAGGTGACAGAAAAAGCAAAACCTCATAGTCACTCCTAAGACTCATTTCTAGAAGGCATAAAAAAAACAGCCTTAAACAAGAAGGAAGCTTGACTGTGATAAAGTTAAGTTAATTTTTAGAAATATTTATGGAGGGCCGGCCCCGTGGCTTAGCGGTTAAGCGCGCGCATTCCGCTGCTGGCGGCCCGGGTTCAGATCCAGAGTGTGCACCGACGCACCGCTTCTCCGGCCATGCTGAGGCCGCGTCCCACATACAGCAACTAGAAGGATGTGCAGCTATGACATACAACAATCTACTGGGGCTTTGGGGGGAAAATAAATAAATAAATAAATAAAATCTTTAAAAGAAAAAAAAAAGAAATATTTATGGAAGTCTTACTATGAACAAAATACATGTTTGGACATAAAACCAATCACTTCCCAGTGGTCTTTTTTCTTACAGAATGTCTCCTATAAGAAGAATGATTTGCTTTCTTCACTGGTTCCTAGTAAGTATAGGGAATGCGGGTAGAAGTTAGAATTGCTTGAAATTTATTGAAGATATTTCAGTTATAAAACTATTCCTCCATTGGTGAGAGAAGTTTATTAGTGATTTACCAGGGGTACAGTGTGTTCCTTTATAGTAGCTAACAGTTTTCAAAGTGGATGTGGATCTCAAAGAGATCTTTAACACAAAAAAAAGTTTTAAAACCACTACCACACTAGATCATCCTGGCACATGTTATGAAAAATTGTGCCTTTTTTAAAAGTCTAAATTGCCCTTGAAGAAGATTGCAAACAAAATGTAACCACTACCACCATTTGCATGATGGAGGACTTGTCCAGTTTTCCAGCCGTGTTCTATGCTGCACTCTCAAAAGCAATAATAGCCTACTGTCTTTGAGGCTGGGATTTCTTTCTGGAGGACTTTATTGTTGTGACTTGTAATTACATTATTGAAATGAACAGGTCCAGGACTCGACCCCCAAACTTCTCCAAAGCCAGAATCAAGAGCCAGGATTGGTTTTGATAACTTTATGCTGCCTGAATTGCCTGACGTAAAACCTCAAGCAAGCCTATCCATTGACCCTTATGATTCTGAAGAAGTCGACTTTGAAGATCTTGACCGGAGACTTGAAATACTGAAGAAAACCACATAATTATTAGTCCTGGATTGAGTATTTGCCTGGGAATCAGAGCTCCTGGGCACAAATTTTAATATGGCCACCTGTGTGTGGGTCTGAAGTTTTCTCATTTACAATCCCTTCCATTTCTTAAATTCTATGGTTCTCTGTCTGTAATAAATGTGTATGTGTGTCTGTGCATACACATATAATTATTCTTGTCCCTTAAAATTCTATAATTCTTAGATGAAGATTCCTGATCTACAGAATTTTATTAATTGTAGTCAATAAAACTTTTGTTTTCTCCTGGATCCTTATTTCTCTCATAATTACCTCTTTTTCCAGGGAGAGAGAATGGAGTGTATTTAAATCCCACCCTTATGCTTACTAGCTATAAGATTTTTGGCAAATGGCAAATGGCAAATGGTCAGATGTGCGTGAGAGAGCCTAGAAACTAGAGGGATAAGTGTCTTTTTAAAAAACGAGTATGTTAAAGAAAGAATGTGTAAACACTGAGAGTGAATGAGAGAAGTGTTTTCAGGAAATCAGTGGAATCCTGTATACCTGGATACAAATTTAGACTCTGACACTCATTAGCTGTGAGCCTCCTTTTTCTCACCTGTAAAATGGGCACAATAATGAGAATTAAAAGAAATAATGTTTGTAAAGCTCTTTAGCACTCAGTAGGTGCTCAATAAATAGTTTCTTTTTCAGTTTCTATTATTTGCTAAGTTCTAGTGGACTAAATATTAGTGATTCTGATACTGATAAAAGAGAGGCTGAGAAAACAATTATTTTTTTGTTTGTTTTTCTTTTTAATAGACTTTATTTTTTAGAGCAGTTTTAGATTCACAGCAAAATGCCAAATTAATTTTTAAATGAAATGATTGGTTATGCAAAATCTTTATTTCAGAATCCTATTTTATGTGTCCAAGAGAGTTTACATTGTCCCTTTTGCATGTGAGAAAGTGATACCTGTAAACCAATTTTTCTCTTTAAAAAAATCAGTTTGGGGGGCCGGCCCCATGGCGTAGCGGTTAAGTGCTCGCCATTGGCTGCTGGCGGCCTGGGTTCAGATCCCGGGCACACACAGATGCACCACTTGTCAGGCCATGCCGTGGCGGCGTCCCATATAGAGTAGAGGAAGATGGGCACAGATGTTAGCCCAGGGCCAGTCTTCCTCAGCAAAAATAGGAGGATTGGCACAGATGTTAGCTCAGGGCTGATCTTCCTCACACACACACACAAAAATCAGTTTGGTCTTGAATGTTTCATTCTAGGATGTTCCCCTCCTCATAAAAAACAAGTTTTTTCAAAGAATATAACGGTAGAGGGAGGATCTTCCAAATCCAAGGCCAGGGACCCACTCACACAGCAAGCTAGCTGCCTCTCCTCAGGAGTAAGGCGCCTCCCCTGGCACCCGTTCAAGTCCTAGATCATCCTCTGGCAAGTGAGTGGCCTAGTGGAGGAGTTTGGTGTTTCCTGAACTGGGTACCAGGATTGGCTGCCCCAGTTACTGTGGATGTTCTAACACTTCTTGGACTTTCCAGGCTAATTTTCAAGCAACTTGTAGGACTGACTGATTTTAGAGGAACAAGGATGGGGCTATGCACCTAAAGGAAAACAAAAGTAATCTACCACAGATCCTTCTAGGCAAATGATGGTGCCATTTTAAGGAAATAAATTACTGGAGTAGGAATTAATGAGTCAGAAGCCCTGCTATATTTCGAGATAGTGCATCCTTCTCCAGTGGCCTCAGTTTTGTCTTCCTTAAATGGGAGAACGGCACCATTTCCTCAAGATGGGGTTTGAGTTGGTTGCAGTCTCATACCTGGTGAGATTTTTCACTCCAAAAGTGCCAACATAATACAGAATCATTTATAAACCATGTACAACTATTGTATAAAAAATAAAATGTGACATAAAACATCTCTGGTGGCACTTTGGGCTGCCTCTTTAAAAAAAAATCACTAAAGCAAAGAGGGAGCTTGGCTGAGCCTCATACTCGCTGGGCTTTGGTCTTTACTTTGAAGGAAAATATAGTCGATTTCCTAATGCTCTTGGTAGAAGGTCAAAGAGTATATGGAGTTGGCTGTTGGAATTTTAATTTTTACATCATTTCTGGCTCTTGTCATAATTGAAGGATTAATTCCTAAACGCTTTGCTCAGACCAGGATGAATTGTGACGAGGGACCATGCTTAAAAGAATTGTAAAAATGCTTTTTTTGAAAACACATAAACAACAGAGGGACTAATTTCTCTCTGACTTTCAGGCTTATTTATAGATTCTGGTGACTCAAACGATAACAAAACAGGCCAGTGGAGCTGCCTCTTTGGCTCATGTCACTGTATTTCCCACAGGGTTGCACCCCCTCTTCACTCTCCTTTCTCGGCTGAGGACTCGGGCACGTGGAGATGCAGGAAGAGTACCTTGTGAGAGATGCCGACCACATTTCTGCAGACAGAGCTTCCCCATCTGCTGTAAGGTCACAGGGCTTCAGCTGCTGATACTGAGTCATTTAAGAACACCACTGCATTTAAGACCAAGAGAGAGGGTCCCCTTCTAATACCACAATTCCAACTGACATGCCATGCCTTCCAAAAGCCCTGTCACTGCTCTGGCGCCCAGTGACCTCTCATTTTTCTGCTTTCTTTGGTGGGTACTGGGACTTATCTGCTGAGTAATAATATCAGTGATACTTTTATGTGTTTGAGGATTTAAAAAAAATATCTAGTTTTCCTCAATGAGATTATAATTACCTGGAGGGTAGGAATAGTCTCTTTTGAAACATCTATTACAGATTCTGTGCACGCAGGGCAGTGTGGTGTAGTGGAAGGACTCAGGCAGCTCGTTCACTGAATGATTACTATATGGGCTAGAAGATATATACAATGATGGAAGATCTAGATTTGAGTCTGGCCTCTGCTGTATGAAGATGTGACAAATCATTTAATATCTCTGATCTTCTGTTTCCTCATCTCTAAAGTGGGGATGATATTTATGCCAAAGAGAGTTCATATTTACTGAGCCCTTACCTTGTGCCAGCCTCTGTTCTAAGTACTTTAAGTGTATCAGCTCGTTTTATTATCACACCAGTCTTAAGATGCCAATGCTACTGTTAACTCCATTTTACAGACAGGTACACTGAGATTCAGAAATGCTCAGAGATGTTAAGTAACTTGCTGCAGTTCACACAATAAAGAAAGGCAGGGCAGAGTTTTAACCCAGGCTTTTAACTACTGTGCTATAATGCCTACCTGGTTTATAAGCTCATGGTGGGTGAGGAACGAATGAATCAAAGTATATGAAAACACTTTTGTAAATTATAAGACACAATGCACTACTGTTATTTGTAGTGGGCAATCAATGAAAGCTTTGGTTGAATTGTGAGGTGGCACAAAATGTTTTTATACTTATATTTTCATGATTCTTGATACTTTTCCAAGTGCTTTCACACATTTCATTCCTCTGGGTAACAAGTGACTTTGAATCCATTTTGGAACAAGGCTAATCATAAATAAATATTGGACAGCTGAGGAAACACGCCCAGAGATGTTAAACACCTTGTTCAGGGCACAAAGTGAGTTAAACTCAGCCCAAACTGGCATCTGAGTGGTCTGACTCCTGGCTAATGCCTCTTCAGTTTTGTTTTTTGTTGTTATTATTTGTTAAGTTGAAGCATACAAGTTATCAATAATAAACTAAACCATGAAAATAATGATCTTTTCTCCCAGCCGTTATCTCTTCCTAGAAGTTTGTTTAATCCTTTGAGGCTGTTGCTGTTTTAAACAGAAAAATCTCCTTCAGCATTTGGATGCATAAAACTGCATTATCTGATAAGAACTTTTTTTTCAAAATGTAAAAGTCTTTTTTTTCCCAAATAAAAGTACGATATGATCATTGTGAAAACAAAACATAGTTAGGAAAGTAAAAATCCTCTATAATGCCAAGATTATCCCTTGGATCTCTATAATCCTATCCAAAGATAACCATTTTAGTTTTATCCTTCAACTTTTTTTCTATTTTTTATAAGCTCATTTTATAATACCATTTTGTAATATATTTTTCAAAATCTGCCATATCATAATAAAGATAGAGCTATAGTTTCATTTTTATTGGCAGCATAATATTCCATTTTATTGATGTGCTGTAATTTATTTATCTGAAATTAGGGATTACCTTTGAGTAGATGGGGAGTAAGTCTTCCCAAACTATAATCTCTAGCCACAGAAGCCAAAGATCCCAGGATAATGATAACCATGCTATATATTGGGTTAATTGCTTTTAATTTTCAATGGCATTAGAGGAGGGGTTTGGTAATTATAAAGATAAATATAAGTAAAAATAAAAGATATGGAGGGGGTTTACATTTTATAATGTCTGTCATTTTCTCTTTAATGCTCTGCCATTTGGCATGGTTGGAAAAAAGCTCCTTCCTCTTTCTTAAGAAGATGGTTTAACTTTTGTGGTTCACAATGGTAAACATTTAAATTTGACCTTTAAGCAAATTTTTGTGACTTGCAAACGGAATACTTTAGCTAACTGCTTTGCAACCTGCAAACTCCTTACTTTTATGGGAGCCCCAAACTGTACTTTAGCATGTGTTCATGCATAGCTATACCTCAGAGGAATCTGCGTTACGGCATCATTATGGTGTTCTAGTTTTATGCTACTATTTACCAGGCATGTGATCCAGGGCTGCACTGCACAGTAGTGCAGCCCTGAAGGTATGAGGCGACTGAATTCTACAAGCATCCTGCTTCCCAAACCATTTGCTCTCGGTTGATTCCACCCTGAGTGTGCGGGTGGGGGCGAGTGGGTGTGTACCGTTTCCTAATTCCAAAGGTTTCACGCATAGCCGAAGCCCAGTCGAGGAGGAGAGAGGGAGTGTCTTTCAGCAAGTCACAGTTTCTTTGAGCCCCGGTCTCTTTATTTGTAAAACTAAATTACCTATGCTTGAATGGTCTGACTCAGGAGGTTGTCGGAGGGTCAAATTAGATTATACACACGAAGATGCTTTTATAAACAATGTGATATCAATATTTAATAATAAAAAATGATAATTACCATTATCACCCCCTTGCTCGCCTTTCTTTCTAGCCACTTGACATACCCCAGTAGTTCAAGAATAAAATTGTACAGGCGGGCCTACTGAGTTCACTTCTTGAAATCCCTGCATGCAAGTGGCTGTCTAAGGACAAAAGTGCAACC